AAATTTTTATATTATTTAAATAAGTTTTTATAAAGTTATAATAAAAATATTAAAGGTGGTTTTTTTTGTCCTGGACTGTATATATAAATTTAAAATATTTTTTAACTTGGAATCAAAATTTAATGATATTATTATCATATATTTCAAAAATTCTTTTAAGTAATCTTATTTTTTAAATCTTTAAATATATATGTTTAAATTTTTATTATGTTTTATCAATTGATTATTAATTATAAATAAATTAATAACTAAATATTAGTCCAAAGATTTTTATAACAGACTGTATATAATAGTAATAGTTGTATAAAAATTTTAAAAATTAATTTGTTACCATTTTTACATATTGTTCGAGTATTTATACATAAAATTATAATGTTCCAACATAATATTACTCCATTTCATATTGCAAAAGTAACACAAGCATGGTTTAAAACTATAGATTGACTAGAAAATTTTGATTTAAATCCAATAGAGAACATTTGAAAAATATTAAAAAATAACGTCAAAAATTTTTTTTTCCAATAACTATAGATAAAGAAGGAATGAAATAGACTTGATGTTACAATTTTCAACAAAATTATTACTAAAAATTAACCAAATATTAATATTTTTACATTAAGTAAATAAATAAATAAAATCAGACGTTACTTTGGAACCAACTGTACATTCATTATAATTTGATCGAAAAGTCCCATGCAAGTAATATGTGTAAATTTAAAATAAATTATTCATAAAATCTAACATTAGGTACATGATTGCCATTATTACTTTTAACAAATTTCAATCCTGACAACTGATAGACTAATCTCAATCAACTTGGATCGCATAATTAATTCTTCAATAGTTTTAAGTGCATTTGCTGTACGAAGAACAAAGTATAGTTTTCGGTGAGAAATTGGAACCATTAACAAAGCATATGTAATCAATTATAATGTAGATTTGATCACATATTCTCTTGCGTTTTAACAATGTAATTTTGGTAAAGGATATCCATGAAAGATGGATCAGACTGTAGATCCCGTGATATTTTAGTAAATAAGTACCCTTGTTCAAAAAAGGAATAGTTAATACATTCATACCTGAATTAAATTTAAATATTTTTGCGTAAACTCCGATTTGCTCAGCATCTTTTTAGTACCATCAGGAAATCTCGGGAGACACGTAATGGAAGCATCCAGAACCTGTGTGCGCTGTAATTCAGGACTATTTATTCCAAATAAAGCTGATATATTGGCATTTGAACCTCCTTGATTGTTAGAAAACGGAGGGCCCAAACTTTGGTCATAAGGTATCGTTTCAGTAGGTAACGGTAAAGGTAACTGTGGTATTGGTTTTGGAGATATGTATGAATTTGGGTTTGAGGATGTCGCTTTTGAAACATTTGTAGGTTGTCGTAACAACTTTAAAAGCATTTTTCCGTCTAAAATATTGTTTGGTGTGTCATGTGAAGTCTACATAATTTATTTTTTGTCGCGTCAATAAAATTCAAATTATATATGCGAAGTATCAGGCTTATATGTGGAAAAGTTTGACATGAATTATCAACAATACCAACTTTCTGAGGCAACTCGTGCGATGACGTGCTTCGCTGGGGTGTTGAAATTGTACTACCATTCGTTTGGTTTATTTCTGGTGATTTTAGAAGATCTTCTATATTTATCTGTTTGCCATAAGATTTTGGTGTTAAATGCTCTAACGGTGGTGGTACTTCGACTGTTTTTGCTGATTCGCGACATCTAAAGAAAAAAACCGGAAATTTTTAAAAAATTATTAAATTAATGCCATTTTAATAAATTGAGTTTGGTATAGAGATATCTTACTCTCGTAATGTCTTTCCTATCCTTTCTTTATCCTTTTCTTCAAATACCCAGATACCATGGATATCATCTATACCAAATTTTGAATTAAATAACGAATTTTATGTAACTTTTTAAATCAAATCTTCAACAATACCATCATCAGTTCGGTATATAATAATTTCATCCTTAAATTCAAGTTCCATGCTGTCTGTTAAAGGAGCCATAAAATTGTCGATGCCTAATCGATTCATCACTATGAAACCATATACGGGCTGTGCGCATCTAGTGATTTAGAAAAAGTTAACATATTTAAATATTAAAACTTTTGAGGCAAACTTAATATATACTTGCCTTTTAAAAACGAACATTGTGCCTTCAACTCCTTTCTTGGTCTATGAATTTCCGGGAAAAAGGTGAGGCGCGTTTAAAAATATTACTTATTTTTAACATACCCACGCGGATTGTTCGTGATCAATTTTGTATACAACAACATGACTTGAACTATCGATAATTTCAACAATCTTCTCGTCGTGTCGGCGCAATACGTTTAAATTAACGATATTTCTTGCAATCGGATCCATATTGAAAGAAATTAGGTTCGATTTTGACACGTGAATAACTGGCAATTTATCGTTACGTTACTTCAAACAATATGCAGATCAATGCAAGTTAAAAAAAATAAGATAGTAATTTAAATTTTTTAAATTTATTTTTAATAAAAATTAAATATGCAACTTTATTAACGTTAATAATTTTTACAAAAAATAAACTTTAAGAACTTAAGAAAAAAAAAAATTTTTTTAATTGCTAATTATATTACAATTGCATCTAACAAAAATAATTTTTATTTAATTGGTTATTTTCAATAATTATTTAAAGAAATTAAAGAAAATAAACTTTTATATATATTTGAGACTATAAAAGAATAAATTTATTCAATAGCTATTTATACAATATATTATTGAAATTTTATTAAAATTTTATTTTAAAAACTTTATAAAAAATTAATAATAATAAATTATTATACAATTATTAAATAATTTATATAAAATTTTTAAATTTATATTAAAATTAATTTTATAAAATAAAAAAATATAATAATTTTAATAAAATTCTTTATATCAAATAATTTTTTTAAATTTAAATTTGTAGATCAATAGTATATAATTAATACTTTCAAATTCAAATTATAAGATATTAATTTGATTTTAAATAAAACAATTAATATGATATCTAGTATTATAATTAATTTAATATTGTTTTTTATAAAAAATCAATAAATATTAAAATTAAAAAAATATAATAATATAATAATTATTCAATATATACATATTTTCTTATTACTATATTATAAAAAAATTTTAATTAACAATATGATTTCAAATTAAATATGATTTTTAATTATTTATTATATATAATTTAGTATATTATAATAATTGTTAAAAAAAAAAAACTTTCTCCTAATCACATCTGTTTTATTAAAAAAAATTTTTTTATGATAATTTTAAGCAAGAAAAAAAATTTAATATTTTTTATCACAAGTAAGCCTTAGCTCAAGAACTCAAGAACCTTCAAAATAACTGATATAGTGAAATGAGACCTCTGGTTAAAGTCTATTCAAGTTTAGAAGTTTTGTTTATCATTCAATTGCATAATAAAAAATCTGTAACTGTTCTTTTTTTTTTTGTTTTCTTATATCTCTCTTTATTTTTATTATATTACAAAACTATTCACATTAATATCATTACACTTGCTAAAACAAACACTTTTCAAAAAATATACTCAAACAAAGTTATTGGGTTTATTGTTTGTTTTAATACAATCTTTACATATAATTTTACTATAATACTATTTACTGTACTATTTTAAAATTCTCAAAAAATTTTTTTCAAAAAACCAAAATTAGTTTATCCCCTTCAGATAATTATTACTCTCTAATTATCCAATCAAATTTCATTAAAACAATAAAAAAAAAACCAAATCAGTTTAAATCAGTTTTTTAATATAACAATAATAACAATAATAACTATTATAATAATAAATAACATCAATTTTACTCTACTATTCATGTCAACAAAAGCAATATTAACAAGTAACAAGAAATTGACAAAATGAACTATTGAGCCAAACCAGGAATTTCCTTGAAAACTTTACTTTTATCTATATAGACTTTATAGTTTAAGTGACTTAGTTATGATTTCAGTAGCTTATGTTATTGTAATCTTGGTTTATTTTATTTTTTTTCAATTTTTCTTTACTTTTAAAATTTTCTGTCCAATCAAAAAACTTTAAATAAGTAAACATAGCTGCTATTCGATTATATTTAGTATATATAATATTATTTTAAAATTTTTTTTCAATATTAGCTAGATATAGATATATAGGCAAACTAGTATTTAACTTGTTGTATTTTCATATACAAAAGATATTATTTCTTTTTTTTTTTTTTTTTTTGTAGGTAAATATTATTTCTTTATTTGATTTGTATATGTCAAGGTATACATCATGAAAGAAACAACATCTCTCATATGCTATTGCAATAAGTTAAATGCTAGCTTGCCTACAGCAACTACTTGACTAATA